GATGGCCATGGTGCCGATCCCGCCGCCCTGGCCTCGCTGTTCGGGCGGGTGGTAACAGGGGGGTGACTTGGATGGGGGGCGAAGGCAGGGGCCCCCAAGGGGTCCTGCACCGCTGCTTGCTCCAAAAGGTGCCCTGAAGGGCCCCTTCGGGGTCCTTCCTCCTGGCCCCTCATTTAGGTCGCCTCCCATTGCCCCCTTTGCCGGGGTTTTCGCCTGCTGGGGCCTCCTGGGAGGCGCTCTCGCCTCCCCCGCTGGAGTCGCCCCGAGGTCCTGGTCAGAACGCGCCCCTGGAGAGGTCCGGGGAGCAGCGGTATGGGTACTCCTTGGTTTCCCCACCCTCCCCGAGGAGGAGGAGGAGGAGGAGGAGGAGGAGGAGGAGGAGGAGGAGGAGGAGGAGGAGGAGGAGGAGGGGGAGGACGTCTTCTCTGTTCGACAGCATCGCTGCCCTTTGGTCTCCCCGCCCTCCCCCCGGGGGTGCGCCCCGTGTGCGCGCGGGGCACCGGACCCCTGGCGCGGGCGCACCACTCCCCAGGGCCGCCTCCTTCCCGACGGGGCGGGCCCCCCCCCCCCCCAGGAGCGGCACGCGGGGGCCGCCGGGGGCCCTGTGCCCCTCTCGGGTCGGGCGAAAGGGGGGGATTGGGAAAAGGGGGGTTTACGAAATTTGATGCATTTGCAGCGGGTTTCGGCGATCACCGAGGGGCCCATTCCCGATACATAAACCGCCCTCCAAGCGCCGGGAGGCGCCGGGAAAATCAGCTACGTGAGCTGATTCTCAAACCCCCCCTTTGCTATCCCCCCCTTTTGCCCGACCCGACCCTCCCCCTGCCCTTGGGTCGGGAATGTCCTTTCCTGCAGGCGGATTTCAGAGGAGAGACAGAACAGAGTAGGACATTCGCAGTTAAAAAGTGACAAAGCATCCGCAAGTATCTTTTTTCAGTAAAGTTATTCAGAGGATTCAGAACTCCCCCATACAAAAGTAATACACATTCGTGTGTATACATATATATATATATATATATATCACTTTCGAACACTCCCCCGCGTGGCTGAACCCCTGCCCTGGTGTTGATTTGCCACCCTGGGTCCGCTCGGAACGGCCCCCGTGGAGGCCGAGCTCCGGGACGAAGGGCCCGGGGGGGGGGGGCAAAGGCCACTCTTCCTTAGAGATCTGGGCACTCTGCGCCCCTGGCGGCGCGCAAGCCCTGGGGAAAGCCGGGTGGATCTGACCCATGCCAGGGTATGTGGAGCCGGTGTGTGCTCGGGCCCCGAAGCCCCCCAGGAATGGCCCAGAGTCGCGAGACCGGGTCTGCAGCAGCTGGTGTCCCTTCGATGGACGGTCGTTCCGGCGGCGGACCAGGACGGGGGAGGCGTCCCTGGAGGGTTTCTCCGAAGGGCTCAGGCGACCCGTCCTCCTCTTTTTTTTTTTTTGTTTTTCTATTTTTTCTTTTCTTTTTTTTTTCCTCCTCCTTCCTCCCCCGGCCCGCCAGGCTCCTCCTCCTACTCTCCTCCTCTCCTCCTCCCTCCTCCTCCTCCTCCTCCTCCCTCCTCCTCCTCCTCTTCCTTCACCTCCTCCTCCTCCTCCTTCTCCTCCTCCTCCTTCTCCTCCTCCTCCTCGTCCTTCACTTCCTCCTCCTCCTCCTCCTCCTCCTCCTCCTCCTCCTCCTCCTCCTCGGGTTGCCTAGTTACGGCCCTGGGGGAAACCGTGCGGGCGCCCCCCCAGCGCACAGGACTAAACCAGGTCCCACCAAACCGAGTCCTGGCAATGCCCGAACGGGTGCCCATGCAGGGTGCCTATCGGGTGCACGGTGAGGGCACAGCGCTTGCGGTGGTGCGCCATCGGGAAGACAAACAGTCAAAGGAGGCAGTGTTTCGTCCAGGGCCCCCTGAGTCATGGGAGGAAGATGCCACCACGATGCTAACCAGTCCTGGGCGTTTAGTAAACAGCTTTGCCATGTTCGAATCTTTCCGTGAGCTCATTTACCAAAGGGTCTCGGCTGCCCTCCGATGCGCTCGACTGGGGCGCATCTGGGACGCACCATTCGCACGCCAGCACACTCAGAATGCACGCGATCTCGACTTTCCCAAGGAAGCACTCCCTGGAACGATTTGGGGACTCACCATTGGTGTGTCCCTGGGGCGCACCATATTCGGGCTGGAACGCGCCGATAACACCCAGGACGATCCTGGGACGCACAATTGTTCGACCCCGCGACGGACCATCTTGGAGCGGACACGTTCGGAATGCACCCCGGACGGTTCTGAGACGCACCCTTGCACGTGAGTCTTGCCCCGAGACACGATCGGTGACTTGGCACACGCGGACCGCACTTGTGACAGTTCTGGGAAGCATTATTGCCAGGCCCCATTACGGACGATCCTCAAGCCGGCACGCTTGCAATGCATCTGGGACGGTCCTGGGACTCACCAGAGTGAAGCCCGAGGCGCACCATCCTCGAGCCGGCACGCACGAGATGCACTTGGGACGGTCTTGGGACTAACCTTCTGTGAGGCCTGCTCTCAGAGCCGGCACGCACGGAATGCGAATGCATCGTTTTCAGATGGATCGCTCAGCGATCCTCCCTGAGGACCCGTCCGAGCATATCCTGTTGCGTCTGATATCCTTCTTTGACCCCCAATGAGAACCCATCATGCGAATAAAACATTATGCTGAATGCAAGCGAGTCTGAACACTAGCGTTTGAGAATGAGCGAGCCTATCAGGATTGAGTCTGAGTATATGTGCCCAGGCATGAGAGATTAGGATCGAGTCTGAGTAAATGATGATTGAGTCTGCGTGTGAGTGTGTCTCAGTGCGAGTAAAATTGCGGCATGTGACCCGCGTTGATCATTTCAGTTTGATTTGGTTTGGGTGTGATTGGATACCTGTAAGAATAGATGTGGCTGAGTGCGTTTTCGTGTGGGCGCCTGGGTGCGAACGGGTCCGGGCGAGAGGGAGTTAAGCGGTTGGATGTGATCGAGTCTGCTCACGAGTGGTCTTGACTGTGAATGGATCGAGGTCTGAGTGAGTCCGAGGATGAGTAGAGGGATCCTGCTATCTGGGTGCCTGGAATGCCCCGCAGTCTGGGCTCGGATGCCCGCCGCTCGGGGTGCCCAAATGCCATGCTGCTACTTCGCGATGGCCACTGAACTCTAAACAGGCACTTAGTTTTGAGAGGTCCCAGCAATGTTTCGGATGCAACTCCTGGGAGGTCAAATTCGGATTTTGCCCTGGTCCGAGATCCGGCTTACTCTGGATTAGTCCTGCTCAATCCGGTTCAATCCCGCTTCATTCCCCTTGAATCCAGCTTAATCCCGCACTCCGGCGTAGCAGCCCCTAAATAGGGCTTAATCCCGTTTAATCTTTCCGACGAAGACCTCCCAGTAGTTGCCTCCGAACAATTTGTTCGACACATCCTCCCTCCGCGCCCCCTCCTACCCATCCTCCACACTTGGCAATTTGGTCTCAAGCGGCCGTGTGGTTCGAGCGGTCGCCTCTGCGTGAGGGTCTCGGGGGGCACCTCTTCGGTGTGTGCGCGCAATGGCTGCGGCAGCCTCCTCCAACGAGGAGAAGTCCCAGGCACCGAGCCTCACGAAGCTGAAGAAGGTGATCAAGGATGCGTTTGCCAACTTCGACAAGATAGGGAACAACACGATCCAGGCAGACGAGGTGGGAACCATCATGCGCTACCTGGGCCAGTTTGCCAGCGAGTCCGACCTGAAAGAGACCATCATCCCGGAGCTCACGGACGAGGGTGGGTCCGAGGGCCAGATATCGTTCGAGGCTTTCGAGAAGATGATGCTGAGAAATTTGAGCGAGCACGTGTACGATCCGGACGACGGGGAGATGCTGCTGGCCGCCTTCAGGGTGCTCGACCCAGAGGGCCGCGGATACATCGACTCAAGCGTCATGCACGAGCACCTCTCCACCCGTGGGGGCAAGGCTGTGGACGGCTTCAGGGAGCGAGAGATGGCCGACTTCCTCGAGTACGCCAAGGACAAGGAGAGCGCCGACCCGAACCGCATCTATTACGAGGACTACGTGGCCAAGCTCACGGAGGACATCGAGAGGCACCTGGAGAACCTCTACCTGGATGCCCGGGGGAACAAGACGGCGGCGGGCGCCCTCCGCTGAGGCACGCAGGCCAGCCCTTCGCCGCCGACGCGCGCGACGCGTGCACACGAGGGGGCCAGACCCAGCTGGGGCAGGAGGGACTCCCGTGCCAAGCGCGGGTGTTAAGCCAAGAGGGGGGAGGAGGAGGAGGAGCAGGAGGAGGAGGAGGAGGAGGAGGAGGAGAAGGAGGCGGAGGAGGAGGAGGAGGAGGAGGAGGATGAGGGAGGATCCATTCCTCTGTGGAGCACGGTCGGGAACTTTTGGCCAGCGTGCTGCGCCGCGGGTCCTGGCCCACCACGCTTCGGCGCGGCACGCTGTCCGCCTCCCGGCCCCCAGGCCTGTCAGCGTCCTGCCCCTCGCCCTGCGGAGCGGAGTGACACGCTGTCCGCCTGCAGGGCGCAGCGTGTCGCGGGGGCCGCCGCCGAGACACGCTGTCCAAACGCTCCCAAACCGTGGGCCGGATGGAAGATCGCGCCGCATCGCCAGTGCATCGGCGATGCTTCTCGATTGGGACCCAGATTTTCTCCACCCCAACTCCGCCGATGGATAGCCGACGACGCCGATGCATCGTCGGTGCACCATTGGCGATGCACAAGCGATGGACGGGCGATGTGGCACGATCCTGGTCCTCCGCAGTCAACCCGCGTAGCAAGGATGAGCAAACGGCCCTGTCCTTATAGCGACTTTCGCGGGCTTACCTCGTTCAAAAAGCGTGAACGATGGCCTTCCAAGCATTGCATCATGACCGTGCATCCTTACGATACGGGTTGATTCTAAAGTGGAGGCCCATGCCAAGAAACACCCTGCTTGCCTCCAGGGTGCCAGGGTGCCCTGGGTTTCTTGGGCTTCCGTGGTTTTGCCGTGGAAAGCGTGACGTCCCCACGCCAAAGGCCGATGGACGTCCTGGGGTCCCAGCGTTGGGGTTCTTGTGGAAGGTTTCTTGTGGACTGGCCTTCACTGCGGGGAGGGGGGGGGGCACGAAGGCGGTGAGGAGGGGGGAGGAGGGGGAGGACGGGGAGGGAGGGGGGCATGAAGGCGGTGTGGAGGGGGAGGAGGGGGAGGAGGGGGGCACGAAGGGGGTGAGGAGGAGGAGGAGGAGGAGGAGGAGGAGGAGGAGAAGGAGGAGCAGGGGGGCAGCGATGGCCGTTGCCCACGGCCGTCGCCGCGTGCGGTGCGCGGCTGGGCCAGGCCTTGGGCCCGCGCCTGTGCGCCGCGCTGCCTCGCCCCGCCCGCGCGGGCCACAGGGCGGCGTGCGGCGAGCAGCAGCCTCGCTGACTTGGCTGCGGTCGGTGCTGTGACCGCCCCGCTCTGGGCGAAGGGAGTCCGCGTCCTCGTCGTCGCTGTCCTCGTCGCCGTCCTCGCCGTCGTCGTCGTTGTACCCGTCGGCCTCGCCTCCTTCGGATCATTTGCAGATGCTGGCTGTGGTGTCCAGCCGGCGCAGCCATCCCCGTCGCCGCCGCCTCCTCCTCCTCCTCGTCCTCCTGCTCCTCCAGCCGCGTCGCGCTCAGGGAGCGCTGCAACGGCATACCTTCGCAACGGGCACATGCTGTTGCGAGCCAGATTGCCCCATTCTTCATATCCGCCCCGAGGGGGGACATCATTTAGTTGCTCCGAAGTGGGGCACAGCACCGCGACTTCCTGTTGGCAACTCTTGGCGCCATGGGTGATCCGAGTTGGGGAAGCATGGGGAAGGCACCATGGCAGACACGGCCGCGCCTTTCGGGGATTCTACAAAAACACCTCCAGTTCAGGACCGCGGACAATATGATTCCTACGATTTGGCACGGGGAATAAAAACGAGTGGTGCACGATGTCCAGTTCCAGAGGCCAGATTCTGCGTCGCCATTGCAGTTACCGAAAGGATCCCAAAGGCGCTCTACTCTGCAAACAGTGCGACTCCAGTTTGGGGCCACATCCGCGGGGAGCTACTGGCAGAAGCACGGTGCCCAGCCAGGTCACCAACGGCACCAGAGGTGGCAAAGGGGGACGCGAGGGCGATGGCAAAGCTGGTGGAGGGAAGGGGCCCTGGCGCCAGGCAGGAGGCGAAGTACGCCGTTGGCTGGGGCACCCTGTCGCTCAAGGACTCGCTGGAGCAACCCCGGCTGGACCCCGATCAGGGGGGGTGGGGGCCCGTCGTCGCCGCGGCCGCCGCCGCCCGTGTGGTCGTGGTCGACCTCGGCGCAGTTCGTTTCCCCCCTCCTCCTCGCCTTGGTCCCTCTTATTTCAGGAGGGGGAAAAACACACAGACACAATTAATCGGCCATTCCCCAGAAAATATGGGAAAATATGGGAAGTGGGGGGGAAGACAAAAACCCAAAAAATATGGGAAAATATGGGGGATCCTTTTATTTGTGTGTATTTATTTGTGTGTCCCAGTTTCCCTTCATTATTGCTCCTCATCTGCCCTCTTCCTTCTCCTCGTGCTTCTCACAACCCTCCTGCGCCACCCGTCCCTGGACCTGCACCTGGAGATCTGTTTTTCTCGCGCGCGGGGTCCACGTTTTTGGGGCCTCGTGACCCTCTTCCTGCTTGTCTCTCTGGGCCTCCTGGTAGTGGTGCCCTCTCGTCTCCATGGCCTGGCCCGACGTCCCGGAAAATTCCTAGAACTGAGCGCGCTCCAGGAGAGCTCCTGCGGAGGAGGAGGGAGGGAAGGGAGGCAGCGAGGTAGGAGGAGTAGGAGGAGGAGGAGGACGAGGAGGACGAGGAATGAGGGAGGGAGAACGAGCGGAAGGGAAGAGGGAGGAGTGACGATGTGCTTGCACTGCCCTCTGCGACTCTGTGCGATGTTTCTCTCTCTCTCTCTCTCTCGTGCGTGCGTGCGTGCGTGCGTGTTCGAAGGCTGCCGCCAGCCTTCTCTGTGCTCTAACGGCGAGCTGCGAGCGGTAAGCCGCGGTGCCTCCACGGATTCCAGCCCATGGGGTCCCCATAGGCCGTCGGACGTGCAAAGATGGCAGAGAATGTGCCGAATGTTTCATCCTCGAGGGTCAAGAGTAAGTCCTAGCACGTGCGTCTTGGAGGGAGGGAGGGACTTCCCGTTATTGTCTCATCATCGGCAGCACTGTCACCACCAGCATGGCGTGTGTGAGGGTTCAGTTGAGGTTGGGCCGAGCTTAGACTACGGCTGCTCCCCTACCTCATTCGGTGTGGCCCTGATTGCCTCTATCCCACAATCACCATCAGCATCATCATCATCATCAGCAGCATCATCAGCATCATCATCATAATCAACATCCTCACCATCATCATAATCATCGTCAGCATCATTGTCTTCATCATCACCACCATCATCATCACCCTCACCATCATACTAATCATCATCACTATCACCATGATCATCATCATCATCAGCAGCAGCATCATCATTATCATCAGCATCGTCAGCAGCAGCATTGACATCGGCGTCAGCATCAGCATCAGCATCAGCAGCCGCACTATCGTCACCATCATCATCATCATCCTCATCCTCATCCTCATCGTCATCATCAGCATCAACATCATCAGCCTCAGCATCCTCATCAGCCTCATCATCCTCATCATCCTTGCCATCCGCATCCTCATTACCATCATCCTCATCATCCCCACCATCATCAGAATCATCCTATTCATCATCGTCACCGTACTCACCAACCTCATCCCCAAGTCCCCGAGTGCTAATCAACCTGGCCACGAATAGTTCGAATGCCGCTTGAACGTTGATGCGGGCTGTCTTCTCTGGGCAACCCGAGGGGAAGCTCCCGGAGCCCTCCTCGCCATGTTCTCTGCCTTCGAGATCCTTGATCGGAACGGACCTCCAGGAGAGGTCCGATGAGGTGGGAGCGAGCGAGGAGCGATGAGGAAAGGAGGGAGGGGGAGGGAGCGAGGGAGGAGGAGGAAGGAAGAGGGAGCGAGGGAGGAGGGAGGGAGGGAGGAAGATGGGAAGCGCAGGGGAGATGGAGGGAGGGAGGAAGGGAGGGAGAAGGGAAGAGGTGGGGAGAAGGATGGAGGGAGGGCAAGGATGGCTCATGTTTGAGACCTCGGGCCCGTGTGGCCTGGGAGGGGGGAGGGGCGAAGCGCCGACGGAGCGGCGGGGCCTGAAACATGGTGAAGAAGAGGAGCAGGAGGAGCAGGAGGATGAGGAGGCTCCTCCTCCCTACTCCTCCTCCCCTCCTCCTCCTCCTCCTCCATCCCCCTCCTCCCCCTCCGCCCTTCCTCCCCTCCTCCTCCTTCGCCTCCTCCTCCTTCTCCATCCCCCTCCTCCTCCCCCTCCTCCCCCTCCTCCTCCTCCTCCTCCTCCTCCTCCTCCTCCTCCTCCTCCTCCTCCTCGTCATCCTCCTCGTCCTCCTCCTCGTCCTCCTACGGCCAGGAACTTGTGTATTTCCGCGCGTAACGCATCGCTTGCAGCACGATGCAATACGATTATGATTGCACCACCCCCTTTCAGATGGACCCCCTTTTCGGTAACCCAAACGTTCCCAGCTTGCCGTCACACGTAGCAGAGCGACACGCGATCCGCTTTCAGAGCATAGGGGCCGCCGCCGCGACAGGATCAGCAACAGTCCCTGACCGTAGGGAGCGGGGAGGGAGCAGGAGGAGGGGCGAAGGATCTTGTTTGGGTTGTTCTCGGCGGCGTTGTGATGTCTCCTGACGTATTCGGCAGTGTCTGGAGCTCTGGAGGAAAGCTGCGATGGGGGAGGGGAGGAGGATTCGATAGCCGATGCGTCCATGTGTGCGTTGGTCCGAAATTGATGCCAGTGGAAGCAAAGCTTGATTGGACTGAGGTGTGTGTGTGTGGGGGTCATCACCAGTTGGCATGGCCGGTCTCACCTCGCAGTCAGGCGAAGGAGGGGGACGAGGAGGGGGAGGATGAGGAGGAGGAGGAAGAGTGATGACGAGGAAACATCGGAGAGAGAGAGAGAGGGCACGGAGGAGGAGGAGGAGGAGTAGGAGGAAGAGGAGAAGGAACGACGACTAGCATGATGTTGTCTTTACAATATGTTTGACGGAAGGGATACTTTTGAAGGAAGATGGGAAGTATGAGGATAACGACCCCGTTGGGACCAATGACCCTCACAACGAGCTCAAGTTCTCCCTCCCCCCTCCTTCCGTTGAACGTCTTCATTGACGAGCGAAGACGTGACAAGGAGGAGGAAGAGGAGGGCAGAGGGGATGGGATTAGGTTTGGTTCTCGAGATTCCTTCGTGCCCCAGGGTTTCGACGGGTGTCTTGGGAGGTCGAGTGGAGGGTAGGATGTGGAGGACGTGGATGAGAATGAGGAGGAGAGACAGAGTCCATCGACACCCAACCAGTGTCATCCCTCCCTCGGCCTTTCCCTCGCGAGGAGGATGAAGTGGGAGGATGGAGGATGAACAGCAGGAAAAGGAGGGAACACATATGGAGTCGGCGCAAGAGAAGGGGGAGAAGGAGCCGGATGGAGAATGGGAAGGGCAAGTAGAAGGAGAGGGGGTCGGACAAAAGACGAGGAGGTGAAAGAGGAGTAGGCGGAGGAAACGGGAGACGTGGACGGGGGATGGACGGGTGAGGGGTTGCGTATATCGAGGAGAAGAGGGGGAGGATGAGCAGCTGCCTGAGGAGAGCGCCGAAGAGGAACAGAAGCAGTAGTAGGAGAGGAGAGCGTGAGCGCAAGCGCAAGGGATGGTGGGAAGTCGCGGCGTATGGGAGTGGGGAGGGGAAGAAGGAGACGGGGGGGGTAGGCGGAGGGAGGGGTGTGAATCAAGCTAGGTGCGCTCGCGTCATATCTGACGTCCTACCCCTCCCTCCCATCCTTTGCCATGGCGTATATGTCCTCTCTATTCGCAAAGTCGGATGTCGAGCTGGGCAATAATCACGAGAGGGTACGTGATACATGGTAGAGCACGGCATGTTATGGCGTAGAAAAGCATGGCAGATCGTAGCATGCCATAGCATCGCGTGGCATTGCGCAGTGAAGAATTTCATTGCATAGTATCGCAACGCAAAACATGGCATCGCACAGCGGCGCAGAGCACAACACCGCACAGCATGTCCAGGCATGGTGCCCAGTTCCTTGGAAGGTACATGGATCGTCTTCGAGAGGTTTGGGCCAGTTTGGGGTCGTGGCTCCATGCCTAGCTCTTTGGGCTCCTCGAAAGGCTCCACACAAGGCGGGGTTGATGGAGAGCACCTGCAGGCTCCGGTTTCAACATCGCCTTCTCAAAGCAGAAACGGGGCTCCCGCTTGATACTTCCTGAAACGACGACGCCACCAAGTGCGGGGGGCTCTGCGGCCCAAAAAGTCAACGAATCGACACCGCATGTGTAAATACTTCCGGCGGTTTTTCCGAGGGCCATGTCTTAGATTCTGATGCCTATTTGGAAGG